GGGGGAAGGAATGGAGTCTCCCCTAGGGCCTCCAGAAATAATACAGTCTTATCAACACCTTGATTGTATCCCAGTGAAACTCATTTGGATTTCTGACCTCCAGACCTACAAGATATATCTGTGTTGTTTTAGGCCATGAAATGTGTGGTCATTTTTAGAGCAGTAACAGGACACTCATACACTGGCTACCTTCCTCTCACACCCAGAAACTCACAGATGCTGATAACTGTTCAAACAAATTCAGATGACAAGAGATAGGCCTATTTTTAATGTCTCCTGTCCTCAATCACCACCCCAGACCGTTTGCTGAGCATTGCAGACATTCTCTCAAACACTATAAGAGGAAACTAAGGCTTAAAGAGGTTATGTGACTTACCTGAGTTCACCCAGGTGGTTGGTGCCAAAGCTGGGACTAGAACCTAGGTCTGCTGGCTGTACCACACTCTCTCCCACCAGCTCTCCTGTCTCTCTGACTTCTGATTCCCAAAAAGAAAAACTGAGTATTCTAGCTGTTGATTCTTGCACCATTGGTGCAAGAATCAACTCACCCACCTTCTTGCACAACAGCTGCCCTCAGCATGAGCCCAGGGCTGGGATCAGAGGACCCAAGACATGTACCTCAAGAAAGCAGAACTGATTCTGACAGGGTAGCAGCTGACCACCCTGCTGAGTCAGCTACTGGCACTTCCAAGGTTGCTAGAGCATGCCTCTGGTGGGCGGAGAAACCACTCACCCCCACCACCGGAGCCCAGGACTTCTCCATAGGGTGAGACATGAAGCCAGGAGCTGATAAGACCTTTTCTAGCCTAGGAACCCATGGCCACAAGCACCAGATGCATGCATCAACTTAGAAATGCAAAGGCAAATTTCAATACTCACTTTCCTGAGAATAAAAATAGAAATGCCTTCGTTGAGCTGACCACTGGCTCTACTCAGTGCTTTATGTATAATAACTCAGTTAATCCCACAACAACCATATGAAGTAGGCACTGATAGTGTCCTCACCTTACAGATAAGGACACTGAGGTGGCAAGAGGTCAAGGGGCAGAGCTGAAACCTGAACTGTAGAGCAGCACGGTGTAGAATTACTGCCACTTGGTTCCACCCAGTAGATCAAGACATTCTACTCTTTGTCTACCATGCTTATGCCCACCACTTCAAAAATATATAGGTTCCAAAAGAAAAGCAAATTAACTAAGTTTCCTAATTTTGCTGGAAACCAGCATGTCCTGGAGACCAGAAGCAGCACAAAGTGGCTGCCAACCCACAGGGTCCCTCCCCAACTCCAGGTCTCCCCTTCAGTCTGGGGTCAGAGAAAAAATCCTGCAAGTTCCAGTCAAGATGGCAGAGTAGGTAAATGCTGTGCATGTCACCTCCCGTGACCACATTGAAATTACAACTAAATTATAGAAAAATCAACAATTATAGAACCACCTGAAGACTAGCTGAACAGAACTCATAACTAAAAACATAAAGAAGAAGCCATGTTGAAACAGGTGTGTGTGTGGATGTAAAATGGGCTGATCCCAAACCCATATGTGGTGGTTGAGCATTGGGAGGGCTAGCTCAGTGGTGGGGGTGCCCCCTGAAGATCGAGGGCTCCCCAGCCCAGGGTTCCAGTGCCAGGAAGAGGAGTCCCCACAACATCTGGCTGTGAAAATCAGCTAAGGATTCCATCCATCCCAGTGAGATGAAAGGCTGCTAGAAATCCAGACATCCTCTTTAAGGGCTTGAGCACAGACTCACTCACTCGCAGGCACTCACCCTGGGCTCCAGTGGAGGGACAGTGACTTGGAAGACGCCAGAGATATACAGGGAAAAACTTAGTGGTGTCATTTCAGGAATAGCCACCATTATTCCTGTGTTGTGCCCTCCTCCTGTGTAGCCTATAGGTGGGCACCATCTTTCCTGTGTTGGGCTCTCCCCACACAGCCAAATCTGAAACTTGCCTGATGAACTCTGCTCACTCCATCTGCGTGACTTCCTGGAACCCTGGCCTGTCCAACTCGTGCACAGCCTGAAACACATTCCAGCCCAGGAACT